CAGCTGGGTGTTTTTTTTTGCTGTGAATTTGTCTCTTAAAGCTGAAAAGCGAAGGCATAAAAGGTCTGTTTTGCTCTCTTCAAGTCGGGTGACATTGAGAGATCCTTCGCTGCGCCACTGACTGAGCGACGTTATTATTCTGACACAGTCATTGTCAAACTGATTTTTTTCTCTCTCTCTCTCTCTCTCTCTCTTCTCCAGACAAACACACTGACGCACACACACACACAGAAATACACACACACACACTTCATCCGTCAGCATCCACCATCGCTGCCCCCACAGATGTTGCCCAGTATTTAGGTCACTTAGTTTGCAGATGGGTGGTCAGCGACGCTTGCATTAGCTTGGGTTTCCAGCAACTGATACAATAGGCCAGTCAGCTCTCAGCGGCCACCCTGGAGAGACCGGAAGTGCAGCTCTTTGTAATCATAACGGACAGTTTTCACTTACGGGTACCAAACGGCATTAAGGTCCAGTTAATGACTGTAACTACGAGATTTAGACTGCTGTGAAAATCCAATGCACAGATGAATGCTTCTACTGTAGCTGCAGGGATGAAAGTGCACATGTGACCATGAACTACTTACAGCCTGTTAGGACTAATAGGCTAACACTTCTTTTTGTTTTTTTTTTTATTTTAGCATGACTCTCCACTGACAGACAGTATTAAAGCACACAGCGGACTCTAAACGTGGCAACAACACAATGAATGCAGGTCACGTGCGCGACACGCTTCGTTAAGCGGCTGTAAGTTTGTATGTTTTCGTCGAGTTTTTGTTTCGCCGAGCTGCTCGTGATGCACTTTCAATTTTTCATTCATTAGAGGTTCTAATTAAACATCCTCAGGTTTTTGATTCGTATCCTCCAGATTTTATTTAATATATTTTTCGTTCAGCAGGCTCAGGTTCTTATTCAATGAGCTAATTTCAGTGTAATTGGGTTTCATCCATTCATTAAAAGTTCATATTTCATTCGGTGTTCTCGTATTTTGCCGTAATGTTTAAATTTAGTTTAATTTTCCACATGTGCACTGTTAAAAATCTTACATCCAGTGTTTTTATGTTATTCTCAACATGTTTGCTCAGTTTTTTTCTGGTATTTTTTCAATATTATCAAGTTTTCTTTCAGATTTTTTCTGCTCTCATTCAGTATTTCCTCATTTTTTTGTGTTGTATTCTCAGGTTTTTGTTCAGTTCTCACCTAGTGTTCCCAATTTACCACAGAGAATTCTTGGACCGTTTGCTCGGTGATTCATGGTGTTTCATTAATAGTTTTAGTTTGTTTTCTTCTGCCTTTCATTCATTTCTTTCATCGCTCTCCAATTTTTATTCACTATTTTCAGATTTTTGTTGAACAACCTCAAGTCGATGTTATCAAATTCTCCAGCTGCTTTTTCGGTTATTTCTGGAGTTGGCTGAATATTCTCTCGTTTTGATTCAACATTTTTTTAGTTTTTCAGTCAGTCTGGCAATTCAGGCTTTCTCCAGATGTACCTCTTGAGTTTCACCTAACCTGTCAGTCTGTCAGGGTCACGGCACGAATCCTTGATGTAGCTTAAAAACAGCTTTAAAAACACAATTTCACAAACACCAATAATGCAATAAAAAAACACAAGGCCATCACATAAAAGTAGGAGTGTGTGTGTGTGTGTGTGTGTGTGTGTGTGTGTAGGTGTGTGTGTGTGTCTTTGCAAGGGTAACTCTTTTGTAGTGTTAAACTTCAAGAGCAGTTTGAGTGAAAGGGGGGAAATGAGGGAGACAGAAGGAACCAAAGCTTCAAGGCATAATACTGTAATTGGAAAACTGTGCAAATGCGTTTTGGAGTCATGTTATATAAATGGCCAGCAGAGATAATGCCTGAGATTCGAGGCATGGCCTAATTGAGAATAGGAGACGGAGGAGGAGCGGGGTGGTGAAGCTGAGGGGGTGAATGAAATGTGGGCTTTAAATTGGGTGAAGGAAATGTGGATGCTTTCAAAGGCGATGGGAGGGATGGCGACAGGGAGGGAGAGCTGTTTCTCTTTAAAAAGGGAGGAGGGGAGGGAGAAAGAGAAAAAAAAAAGAAAAAAGAAGAGGGAATAATTCCCACTTTCTTGCTCGGTCTCCACACCTGTGACCCAGCAGCCAGCCGCCACAGCTATTTCTGCTGTAAGTGTGTGCGTTTTGAATGTGCGCAGGTCTCTTTGGTTCTCTCACTCTCTGTATGATTGATGAGTCTCGGTTAGACCTGGATCTCTGCCACAACCCGGGCCTGATCAGGCATGTTCTGGTCATAACAACGCCATCAATATGTGGCTGACGGCTGTGCGAGTGTGTGTGTGTGTGTCTTTGTAATGACACATAAAATTGAAGCATACCATAACCCAAAAGAAGCGAGATGCTTTGGAGGAATTTCCTGCCCCTCTGAGGGGATTAAAGAGCAGCGTTGTTTAGATGTAGTTCCCCCCGCTGATTGGAATTTGAATCCCATTAATTAGCCCTTTCATGTATGATCTATACGTTACCGTTTGACTAATGAATTCCCCCTTTCATGGTTTTTTTTTTCCTCCTCTCAGTTTCCATGTCTTTGTGCCGTCTCAGGTTTCCTCCGCAGCCCCGAAGATTGACCAAAAATCTGCTTGATATTTGATGAGCAGCATTTGATGAAAGGCATTAGCGTGCCTGCATTATTTATGAACGGCGAGTGATGCATTAACTCATTAAATATGTATATGTACATTACATGAGAAAGAACATGTCCCATAGCATGTCGTATTGATTTTGGTGTGAGTTACGAGTCTCCTGCATGATCCCCTCCCCGCCTCCTCCCCTCCCGTGAAAAAACATTAGGAGACTGCACACCAAATCACTTAAGGGCCATATTGACAGACTTTCCCTTTGGATGCCTGGTCACAGTTGAGAAGTTGCAGAGTTTGAACTTGCTTGCTTCAACAGATCAAGGGTAGTGTCTGCACATGCAGCAGATTTTGTGTGGGAGCGGAGTGTGTGAAGTAACGTGAGGGGAAACTAAGATGCGGTGCCAACTTACACCGTTTAAAGGAATGGTACCAGTGTTTTTGAATTCTTTCCTTCATCTGGTTAGCTATCACTTTACTTCCCCCCCAACTTTATTTTCCATCTGTGGCTTTCGCAAGGCGCTGCTGGCCTCGTGGCCTCGTCAGAACTGGAAATGACTTGCCTCGCAGGCACTGGTGTAGCAGCAAACAAAATGATAAGTAAACTATGCAAATGCGCAGCCGGCTGGTGATCATCTGAGGCAAACAACCACCACCGGTGCAATCTAAAAATGAATAACCCAGCTCAAAAAAAAAAAGCCCCTCCATTAATCTAAGTTCCTTCACCTTAAAAGCCCCTAGTCTCATTTATTTTACATCAGCTTGATAATAATTACAATGTTGGCGGCACGCTATGAATTTATATTATCAAAGTTCAACGACGTTTCACAAATAAAAGTGCAAGTTTGCTCAAAGGCCTCGACGCCTCAGAAGTGACTCTGGGATAATCTCCTGTAATTTAAGTCGTTTCCACATTAGAAACTGTTAGAATAACTGCACACTAAGGAGGAGGAGGGGAAGAAAAAGGGCTTCTTTTGGAAGTTCTTTTCCCAATTAGTATTCATGGTCATGGATGGAAATGAGTGTGTAAGTTAAATTGTTCCCAAGCCACCACAAACTGCTGGCAGCTGTTGCTTTCCCAGGTGACTTGTTTCATCTATAAAGACATGTGAGCCACCATGTTACACGATTAAAAAAACAGCAAAAAAAAGAGGAAACAATGTGAGGAATTACGCCCGCTTGCATCCAGCGAAAAAAAACTCATGAGGGTGTTTCATCTGCTGACAAGTAAACAGACAAAAATTAAAGTAATCAAAAGGTTCACCCCTTGATAATCATTGTAGGCCGCTCTGGAGTTTGGTAATGATGCAGCAGCACGCAGCAAATGAATAGGAAGCAAATGTTTGACTAAATGGGCTTCTGGAGGAGACATTTTGGAAAGAAATGTAGAGTAAAAGAATGCTGCAGTGCATGCTGGAACAGTGTGTTTTCCACATTTTTCGTGATTTTTTTTCCTGTTGTAGAGCAAAAGAAGACCCCCGTGGCAAATTCACACACACACACACACACACACAGTCGCAAACACAGAAAAAACATGCAGTCACACACAGTAGCTCAGTGGGGGGAAGGTTTTAATAAACCCACAGTAACGTGGATCTACGGGGGCGTCTCGGGACCGAGCCAGGAAACCAGATGAACGTACCTGCCCCGGGGCACTGAGCGAAACAGTGAAGAGGGGGGTGGCGAGGAGAGGGGGCTATGGGGGTATGTGTGAGGGGGGGCCAGTGAAGCCACAGGCACATCATGTCTCATTGCCCTGACTTTTTCTTTCTCCTGCCATCAGTCTCTTCACTCGCCCACTCTGTCTCTGCTCACATCATCAAGCCACACGAAAAGCCATGCCCACAAACACTGATGCGTTTGTCAGAGAAAATGCCCAATCACTTTAATAACATTTCATGCCATCTCTGCTTTCACCGAGCACTTGGAGTTTGTTCCTCAGTCGGATAAATGCAGACTGTAATTTCAGACAAAACGCAATGGAAATGCCGAGTGCAGCCAATCAGATTTAATCATGTATGAAGAAATGTAATTTTGGAGGACACCAGGGCAGAGCGGGTTGATACGGGTATTAGTTACTATGCAAAAAGGCGTGTCCGTACTCCCCGAATATGAATTTATGAAGCCTGCTTGTGATTTCAATCTGACTAATGTATCAGAACAAACCCATCTGTGCAGCACTGACCCCTGAGGTGAGGGTTTTTGGGGGGGCTGAGAGGGAAATGCTGTGCGCGTGGGCGGCTGGTTTATGCTCCCACCATGTACCAAGGTGGTCAGTGAGACGGGAAATGAAAATCTTTCGCTCACATTCATAAAAAAAGGCTTGAAGGTGTAAAAAAAAAAAAAAAAACAAGGAAGAGGAAGAACATCGCTCCAGACCAAGTTCCATGGGAAAAAATTTTATTTATCAATATGCGGTAGTTTCCAAACTGGTGGAACGTTATTTCCATTGTAGCTGGTGCCAACAGGTTACGCTGAGAAGCGGCAAAAAAAAAGAAAAAGAAAAAGTGAATGGCGAAAAAAATAAAATTACAAAACTTGACAGTTGTGATTCAAACAAAAGGGAAACAAATTCAACAGGTTTTTTTTTTTTTTTTTTCGCTTACACATGCACATTGAAAAATAATACTGTGGCTTCGAAACAAATAGCAGAAATCAACCTACGGTGAAGCTCGTAGCATGAGCGACCAACATCCTTGTGCTAAATTAGGAAGGGAGGGATGACAAAGGAGAGGGGCGGAGGGAGGGGAAAGAGAAGGAGAGAGCATCTTTAAAACAAAGGACCGCCTGGGAGATAATGAGTGGTGTAAACCAGATGATTTATTGGTGAGCGCGGTACGGTCACACTCTCATACATGGCTTCGTTTCTTTTTCATCTCCCCACTTCTCTCTCTCTCTCTCTTTCTCTTTCTCCGCCTGGCCCGATAGACTTATTAAAACTGAGAAAAGATTCATCTTGGTGGACCAAAAATGTTTTTGTTACATCTCATAATGGAGTGGAAGGTGTAGGTAACTCAAAGGCAGTGGAATAACACAGTCTTCATACGCAGAGTTAAGTGCTGTCTCCAACAGGGGAACGAGGAAGGGGGGGGCCTTATCATTCATAGTTTCAGCGACCTATCCATTTCAAAGCCACTCTGTGACAAAGCTTCAGTCCTGAACAGTTTCTGAGCAACTCCTGTTGAATGGCAATGTAATAAAAAAAAAAAAAAGAGCACAAAAAAATAACTCAGAACCCCAGTTATTTATTATTTTTTTAAAACACGTGTGGTAACAAAGACGTTTTTTTTTTTTTCTGACAATACTGGATGCTGCGAGAAAAGACAGCTCATGTGACCGTTGCAATATTCAGTTAACTCTAAAGGAAAAAAAAAAAGAAAATAAAAACATATTGCAGAGACAGAAAAAAAAAAAAATGCAAGGATTTCATACAAAACACAATTTAAAAAGACAGCTATTTACAAACATCCTCCATTACAAAAATCTAATCTTAAATTTTTCTTTAATGAGCAGTGTTCAGGTGAAATTACATCTTAAAATTGGGCTCTATCCATATATTTACATTTCTCTGTTATCTCCTTTTAATTTTTTCTTTTTTTCTTCTTCTTCTTCTTCTTCTTCCTCCCCAAATTTTGAATAACATTAAGAAGTGGTCACTAGAATGAATGAAAATGAGACATGGGTTTGTGGTAATCTGGTAATGACTCCCTAGGCTGGTGTAGGTGAATGGATGCGCGGCGATCCGAAACGAAAATATTTGATCTAGATGTGTTTCACAGAGGGCCACTGAGGGCTGCATGCTGAGTTAAAACACAGGACCACAAAAGCACAAGCAGCTGTTTAGGTTGTTAACTCCGAGGTTAACGACACGCAAAAGCCATTGGAGTCCCTCCCAGAGTCTTCAAGCTGGGCTGCCTTTTAACTCAGCAAGTGTCTGTCCGTGGATGGCAATAGTATGTGGCGGCGGATGATAGGCGCCTCTGCCGGTGAGTAAACATCAACCGTCAGCGTAGCCCCGGAGATAAAAACCTGGACCCGTCAGTCTCGGTGTATGTATGTGTGTGTGTGTATGTGTGTGTGTGTGTGTGTGCACATGTGCGTCAAACGTCAGCTCGAGTCTAGCGTGCTGAGGAATGGCTGTCCTTATCTGCTCCCCTCTCCTCTCACACATCATTAGCCGGGACTGCGGCGCTCTGTACTTTGGCAGCCACACTGTTTGGAGCACCAAGTTCCAGTCCCAGTCTGTTTCGGCCGCACAGACATACAGGAGAGAGAGAGAGAGAGGGGGGAGAGAGGGTGGGAAGAAGGGGGAGAAAAAACTGCACATATAAGCACAAATAAGCACTTATAAGCACCTACATGTACATACGCCGCCGTCGTCGCCTCCCCCCCCCTACACACCCTTAACCTAAAAAGCGAGCTTCGGCGTGCACACACAGCCAGCTGCAGTAAATCCTGTGTCGCCGCCCTGGGCTGTGTGATAGCTGGGCTGCAGTGTCTGAACACCTTGACTGTGGAATATTCTGCACAGCATTTTTATTCACAGCACAACTGGTGAGAGGATGAGGGGTGGGGTGGTGGGGGGGGAAATGAATGCTAAACTACCTCTACCTCCCCCCCCTTTTAACTGCCTCACCCGTCACCCTCCATCCCCACCGCCATCTTCCTCTCAGGTTAAAGCCAAGTCACAGGAACATTTTCTCCTTTATCCGCCGCTCTCACTCACTCTTCTCCCCGGCTGGTGAGTGTGGGCATGGAGATGGCACATAGATTAGTCACACGCTGGCGACGCCACTGACTGTGCACTCCACTGACTCATCTACAGATGGCAGCCAATTGGCATCCGACGATACTGTATCCCAATGTTCAGCCCGTAGCTCGGAATCCAACTTATATATAGGGCATCCTACCTATGTAGGCCAGCCAATCGGTGCCAAGCGCCCAACCTACGCCCACCTCGCCCAGGCGGCAGGCACCGAACTCACCGTTTGATGCTTACACTGTAACACTAGAAGCTCGAACAAACAAATATCAACCTGCCTGCTGTCTTTAAAACCATCACCCTGAAAGCTCATCAGACACAATAAAACCTTCAGCGGGTGCCAACTGGAGCACTGAGAGGGTTTTGTAAGATCTTGATCTCGTCTGTCTGTCGGGGTATCAGTCTGTCTGTCTTGTTTTTTTGAAGCTTGCAATACAGTAATGTAGTGTTCTAGCCTTAAGCCAATAAGTCTTCCTTGATAAAAAAAAAATAAAAATTGGTCTGGACATGCCCAGACACACTCACAGGGGACACACCCTGAAACACACACACACACACACAAGTAGGTCATAAATACAAGAGTAATGGTAAAGCTCATATCAGACCAGTGGAGAAGGGAGTATTCCTGCAAACACGCACACACACATACACACCTCGACGTCAACAGTCCGGGTCAAGGTACTACCTAAAGGACTAAAAAAAAAAAAAAAAAGAGCGATGGATGACATGGGTGGTGAGACGATGGAGCGATAATGATGATCTATTTCAACTCTATACATTGTGCACTTGTAGGAAAAGTCTAACAAAATACAACTGCTTTGTGAACTGAATCAGGGTTCAAGGAAATCCTCCATCAAAAATAGTAAGTAAGGCAAACATCAGAGGTGCGAAGGGAGAGGAACACATTATTTTCACACACTGTGTCTGATACCTGAGCTATCTGGAGAGTTTCCCGGCCCAGCTCGGAGCCCCCGACCAACACACACACGGACGCGCACGCACACACACACTGATTTTTTTCTTCTTTTTTTTTCTCTTTTTGTCACCCGGCACACAAACTGCAGGCTGAGTGGCGTTCGGGCCTGCGTCTGCCTGTTCCTGGCTAGTGTGCTAGGATGGTGGTGTTTAATTGGGTGTAGCACAGACTGTACTTCAGGGAACTGAGATAAGTTATATCCTGTCCGTTCTTTTAAAAAAAAAAAAAAAAAGGGACAGCGAACCACGAAGCTCGAAGTTCCATCTGTTGGTTTGCTCGAGCTCCGCCTCCCACCGTCAGAGCACAGCGGGGGGGTGGTGGAGGAAACTAGGAGGTGGGGTGAGGAGGAGGAGGGTGTGGGGGGAGGTAAGGAGGAAGGGTGGGGATTGTCAGACAACCCAAACAAACAGAATAAACCTCTCTCGTCAGTCAGCTCATAACCCCGCTGGTCACTGGTCAGTGCGTGTGTTTCTCCAGATTTGTGCAGCAGGTGGTAGAAATAACACGGGCTCGAAAGAGGCATCAAGTCCCCCAAGATGCAAAAAGGAAGTGTCCTTCCCAAGAACATAAATCAAGCGCTCCTCTTCTTTTCCGTTTTTCCTCTCTCTCTCTCTCTCTCTCTCTCCTGACCGTGCCGCCGCCGGTTTGTGCGAAGCGTGTCAGACTTTGTAGTAGATGTTGGCGGGGCTCTGCGGAGGCATCTCCTGGACAATGTAGACTGGGTGGCCATAGTCCCCGCTCACCTTCTCATAGTGAGGGCAGTAGTTGTTCTCTGTCCGCAGCGGAATGATGATGTCGCTGGGCTCCGTGCCAGCCGTGCCGCCCGGCAGCTTGGGATTGGACAGGGTGCTGAGCGACAGCGCCGAGGGGCGGGGCTGCGAGTGGGCGTTTTTCCTGGCACGCTTGCGCATCTTGATGAGCAGGATGACGAGGAGGAGGATGAGCAGGAGGAAGATGATGCAGCCGGCCCCGATGGCGGAGAACACGGCCACTTTGGAGCCCAGGATGCCGTCCGAGTTTGCCGAGGACCCCGACTGGTCTTGATTCATGGGGTCTAGAAGGAGAAATGACGAAAAAAAAAATAAAAGAGAGAGAGAGAGAGAGGCTTAGGGACTGTAAAAATAATTATGACGGGGGAACAGAGGGTCAGAAAAAGGAGGGTGCTGTAATTTGTACTTGTGCTGAAAGGAGGAGAGTCTAACTTTTTTTTTATGTTCCCTCGCCCCATATTTCACTTTTATTTCATATTTTATATTTGTGAGATTTATTATTTAAAGGAGATCAAATAGGTACATCAAAAAATCTGGTTTCCGTGTCCTCTGGGGAGCTGCATTTTGCCATGTGTAGAGGATGAGGGGGTTGGGATGAAAATATCGCAATGCACAAATCCTTCGGCACAGAGCCTGTTCTTGTTCCACTCATTTAGCGGCTGCGTTATCAGTTCATTTAATGGCACTGCTTTCTTACATATGTGTTTGTTTGCTTTGGGAGGATTTCAGGCGGATGGTTATAGCGGCGTTTGTCAAATCAGGGTCCAAAGAAAACAGTAATAACACTCGCGAGGTTCCTTGTGTGTTTGTTAAATAGGATTTCACTCCTCCCCATCACAGTAATTTTCTTATAGTCCCTCAGAGACTGCGGAACATTTACAGTAAGCCGGCGCTGTCATGTGTCACACAGATCTTAGCTGTTGTGTGCCTAAATCAACTGCGAGCACATCCCAGTTTTTGTTGTCTGCTCGACATGACTAACAGCCCCATTGATGTAATCTAATTGAATCAGCTCAATCAAAATAGGCCTCGTAATGAAATCTGTAGTCATCACTCGGCATAACCGAGATTCCTGCCCCGATAAGATTGGAGCCCGGGCATGTTGTGTGACATGTCGAGGCCGCGTTTTGTCTGGCAAAGGCCAAGTGAGATATGGAGGGGGGAAAAAAAAAACTGGACAAAAATGAGGAGGGCATATCTGAACATCTGATTTTATTTTATCCCTTTGTTTCAGGGGTTCAGGATGGGGAAGGAGGGGGGTGGTGGTGGTGACTGGATGGGAAAGAGAATGGCTGGCTCCTCCAGTGACTGAAATCTGAGAAGAACCAAATCTGTTTTCCATGTATGCATGCAGCTGCTGCCAAAGAGCAGCACTCACCCCTCTCCCACCACCACCACCACCACCACCACCTCTTTACTGTCCATGACCTCCCCTCCCCTCCCCAACACACACACAAGCCCTCATACCTCCGGAGACTGCCATCCACACTAATGACTGTGTCTCCGCACTCGTCCGGCCACTTTTGCACTTAACCATTTATTGAGGAGGGGCTTTAACGGCGCCCTTATCACGACCAAATGACATCACCGAGAGCTACCAATTCGAGGCCTTATCGGGTGAAATCAGAGGCTGGAGGAATTTCGTACACTCTGGGCGCCGCGGAGAGCCCGGAGAGAGGCTGTCAGAAATTTCATTCCTGAAATATCAAGCCCTCAAACCACAACGACTTGTCCTTCATTCCACCCTCCACTTCTTCACTTGACATAATCACTGATCTAACAATGGTAGACAGGTAGAAGCCCAGGTATAGGGGGGGGGGAAAGTGACATTAGGCAATCTTTTTATAGAGTAACTAATGTCAAATAAGCAATTATTAAATGAGGACAGCTTATCACATTGGGACAGGCAGAACAGACTGTACTTGGGAGGAAGTTTGTGGCATATAAAGTTGTGGAGTAAGTCAAAAAGTTTGTGTAGGGAGTGATCTAAAAAAAAAAAAAAAAAAGAATAGTAGAAGAAGAAGAAGAAGAAGCGGTCCCTCCTGTGGGGAGCCGCTATGAAAGGTGCTGGTGAAAACAGGAAACAAGGAGGGCCCAGAGCATCCAAGGAGGCTCAAGTGACTCCTTCAATTATCTCTGCTTTTAATCTTCATTTATCTGCAATTCTAATGAGGTTTAAAAAGATATATAATAAAGAAAGTGTGTCTTTGAGTCTCCTTGGGTGCAGCACACCCTTTTGTGTACAGTATAAATAAGTGAAGTGACTCAGGGTGAGCTGTGTTTGTTTTGGGTGGGGTTTCGTGTTGTAACGTTGCAACCTGGACTTTGGAGAGTTTATTCACCTACAACAGTGGTTTTACACGTATTTAAGCTTGCTGACCCCCCCCCCCAAAAAAATCAAAGGAACGCCTGCGGCAGGAAAAAGCCATATGAGAGAATGCATACTTTGAGAGACTCAACTATGATTTTTATTTTTCTCTTTTCAGGCTAAATGTGATTAATTATTAGAGGAACCCTTAAGGCTGTGAATATTCCTTTTTTACATTTCAAAAACCATTATTTTACTAAAATATTTGCACTCCGGAATCTAGAAAGCATTCTTTAAGGAGCGCTAAGCGGCAGTTCATGGAGCTGCTGTTGATCCGTCAATCTGCTCACCAGGGTTTCCTGGAATCTCGGGTCCAATCCGACCCTGGTCGGGCGGACTGGGACTGGACTCCGGTATGGCGTTGTCTTCTGGAGTCTCCGGCGCCACGGGGTTCGCAGAGTTTGGGACTGTGGGAAAACAAAAAAAAAAACACACACACAGAGAAAGTCAGCCTTGGCAAGCTGCATGCGCTGAATTACAATGACTTGTTCTCGGCAACAGCGAGGATTATTTTTTATTATCTTGTGATATATCTTTTATGCACGGAGAAGGTTATCTTTGCATGTGTTGAAAAGCGTCTCAGAAGTGAAGATGAAAGCACAAAAAGCGGAAGGACAAGTTAGCGAACGCCTGTGAAACACGCCAATACTCCTGTCCTGCCGTTAAAAAAAAAAAAAAGAGGAAAAGAAAGAGCTCACATCTACATCAGCAGCTCCTTCAGCAAACACTCAGACAGGCATTTCCAACACTGACACACTCATGAGCGCGTAGGACACACACATCCATGTGCACACACCTACGATATACTTACAATACACTTAGGCCTGGCAGAATGAGGGTAAAGTAGTTATATATTAACTTTTTATTGTTTTACATTATTCATCACGTTAAAAGGCCATAATATGCCTTATTTATTGCTCCGGCTTTAACTCTGCCTGAAAGAGGCACACTTCTGAAGAGGGGACAGGAAGCGAACGGGGGAGACGAGGAGAAGAGGAGAAGAGGAGGCGAGGAAGAGGAGACGAGGACGAGGAGGAGGGGGGTTGCATAAGCTCTGAAGGGAACGCAAAGGAAACAGACAGTTTATCTGTCTGTCTGCTCTGATTTCAGCGCACACTTTGAAGTCTTTGTGCAGTAAACACTGGTGGGTCCACACCGTGGTTATTTTACAAGGGCAGGGCCGGCAGACAGAAGACAGTTAAAAACTATTACCGAGGCCGCTCAGATGGCTTCCACGGCACTCTATCAGATGCTTCTCCTCTATCAGGACCTTATCTGCATCTGCCCCAAGGCCTGCTCAGAGGGGTGTGTGAGAGAAATAAGTGAGGAGGGCGCGTGGGGAGAAGGGCAATTTACATCCGAGTCTCCCGTGGCAATTTTGTGTGGCCGTGCATGGGTGTGTGACTGAAGAGGTTCTGACAGTCTAGCGGTTCTATTTCCACCCCAGTTTGGCCAAATCTCAAGCAGAAATGATTCAGGTGCGGGGCATCTGGTAGATATAAGCAAAAAAAAAAAGCCAGAGACGGGAAGGAATATGCGTTCACGATGGCCGTCCGCTTTCTCTTCCCTCGTTTTTCTTCGGTATTTGGCTAACGCAAACCACACTATTCGCAAATCCGCCCCTATCTTCTCCATGTCCGGACCATCACATCGCTCCATGCTGATTGCGGCAAGCGGTGAACCTAGCCGTGAGCTGTTGTGCGTTGTCAATAATTGATGAGAAAAGACAGGAGTGAGAAGTGGGAACATTCGCACATGATCGAGGATATGAGAGGACACAGTGATCTGATTCACTCCCTGCGTTATAGCCCCCGACTCTGTGTCAACCACTGAGCATGTGCGGGGAGCGTTCTAATGTTCTGACCCATTTTTTCGGTGTGTACTGCTGACATTTCCCTTAGCTATGCAGACAGCAACTACCTCAGAACTGCCAACCCGCCAGAAGGAGGGAGAAGGTGGGGAGGAGACGAGGGGTGAGGGAGGGAGACAATGATGGAGCGATAGAATAGAAAGAGAGAGACAGATATGTAGGGGAGTGAGGTAGAGAAAATGTGAGAGGGGAAGAGATGCGTGCGAGGCGGTGAGTCAACGTATTTCTAATGAGCACGGTGACATGTTGTGGTGGAGGGGGAAGAGACTGCTGAGCAGCAACGTTATGTATAAAATATGGGCTTCCCGTATCTCCCCTTCAATCAGTTTCACTTCCTTTTAACTGCTCATTTTTTCATAAAGACAAAAGACAGACTACGGGGCACTTAAAGCGCAATTAGATATCGACACGTCAGGGCGCGAAACTTGCCCGAGACAAATGATCCAGCGCGGTTCCGACCCCTGAGCGTCGTCGCAGTCAGATATGAAATGTAGGAATAAAAGAAATGCATATTTCACACTGGAGTGAGTCACCAAAATGTAATTCCAAAGTGCAAAGGCGTACGAGTGGACATATGGGAAGATCTTGAGGCCTTGGCGAGAGAAAAGTGTTGGCATTCAGCTACAGGAGACGGAGGAAATGTGAATCAAACACAATGGCATCTGGGGTCAGAACCAAGTGGAGCCCACGCATTTTTTTTTTTTTTTTTTTTTTGGCTGAAACAAAGCCGAGTGTGGTTGCTGAAGGTAGAGCCTAGGGCAGCGAGTGCTGATTAGTCTTTTGAGTATTCTTTGTTTTTTTACTTAATTGGTCAGAAAACGCTAAAAGATGTCCATAACAAATTTGCCCGAGGTGAAGGGTGATGTTTTCGAATGACTCGTTTTGCCTGAACAACAATCCAGAAGCTAAAAATATTCAATTTGGGTAAACAAAAGAGCGAAAAGCGGCACATTTTCAAATTTCACATCCTGAGAAATAACTTGAATACATATCAGCAGCCAAAACTGAATGAATTTCTGTTAATAAATGCTTACATAAATTAAAGTATGCCTGCAGTATGAGCAAAATATGCATCAAAAACCATTCCGAAATACTTCAGAGACGTATTATCCATTATAACACATGCCAGATTGTGTGTAAAAGCTCAAATTTGTAATATAACAGTACAATATTTTGCTCTAAATCGCAGCAGAATAGGAGTATAACGTCGCATTAAATGGAAGTACATGTCCAATAGCTGAAGAAGACAAACTTTATTATCTTGCATCACTGTCAGATAAAACAAGAACTCTGCATAGGTCATGACAGGAAATTAAATTAGACATTTGTCAGTGCTTTCTATCATGTAAAAGCCCCAAAAAATCCTAATCTAATCAAGAAAATAACTGTCAGATTAATGGAAGATAAAAATAACGGTTAGTTGCACCAGAACATTTTGCAGGAAAAACAATCACCTAGAAATTACACACAGAAGCCAAATCAAAGCCGCTGTCAGCGCTCTAATTTCTCATGGCCCTTCTTCAAATAGTTACTGGGTTGGATGGGTACATTAGGCATCAAAAATTCCACCCACAGAAATAGATTTAAAAGTAGTAGCAGCTGGGCCGGCAGCATCTTTTCTAACAAGGTTTTTAGGGCACATTGATCGTGAGTGACAGCTCGCTTTGGACTGTTTTGGGAAATGAGTGCATGGCTCTAGCGAAGTTGAGGAACAGCCGGGAGCCACGAAAACAGACTCCAGCTGAGGCGAACTTTCCTAGAACTTTCCTCGAGTGAGACATTTCCTTTCAACTTTCATTAACGTGAGAGCACAGGTTTATTTTTCTCCCGGTTAATAGCTGAGGGTGAAAAAAAGCCCTGTGTTGCCTGCACTCGTGCAGCCACGTTGTCATTCTGCAGCGGTGTTGCAATCCCAGTGCTGTCGGGATGCTCAAATTGACCTACATGGAAAAGATAATGCAATGCCTGTCTGTTGCTGAGATGGTTGTGGGTATTTTTCTCTGTATCTGCTGAATTTGTTCCGACTCAGACCTTGCTAGCATCAGCAGCTTGTTAGCTTCTATTCTCCCACCGGCTGCCAGGATACACTGCTGTCATTCCACTAGCCAACATTCAAATATCTGCACACACATTTGCAGACACACACACACACACACACACATACACAGACACTGCAGATTCCTCAGCAAGTCTCGGTTTATTTTTGACATGTTGAGATCCAGCTTTTAAGCTGGAATCAGATCATCATGGCGGGCAGATGTTCCTCTCAGATGGTGGTTAGTGTCTGTTTCGGTCAAAACAACCACACTGAGGATGAGGGAAGTGTTTACAGAGTAACACATCTGTGTACTGTACCCTGTCAGATTCAGGATATGGATGTCCACAAATTGAGTAAAACTGCGTATAAAAGTGAAACGTATGATAAAAACCAAATGTTGTGTCCAAGGATATCTAAACAAAGCTTGCTTGTTTACTTCCAGCATTTTTAGATGACTTACCCCGACCATGCACTTACGTACCAATTTCAAACACATTTTCATTCCGTGATTGCTGCATGAGAATCGCAGCTGAGGAACATCAGAGGTTTTATTGCAATTTGGAACTGGAGCCGTTCTTCATTCGCTTGTTATTTCTCCCGGATCTCATTTTCTACACTGTTTGCAAAAACTGTTTGTGGATATAGACGATTTCTAAAAAAAATAGTGTACACAACTAATAGCGGGGAACAACGAGTGGATCCGTCGTGGTACGCGTCTGCTGTGTATCGCAATAGTGCATTTTCTGTGAGTTTAGCTGGAAAAGGGAACAGACGAAATAAGCTGATGGGAATCCAATGGCTGATAAATCAGGTTACTTCATCACAGTGACGCACAAATCCTGAAAATCCAATAGTGCAGTCCATAAAGCAGTCCTGGTTATTGATTTGCAACATTGCATGCAAACGCCTAATCCTAGCAGAGATGTTAAACAGATAGTGACGGCACTACATCCACGCCGCTCATTTGAAAGTGATATTTAAGACATTCATTACTAGCAGCAATCATTTGAGACTGTGTTGTTGGCAACACTTTATTTTAATGCTCCCACTGTTGATTTATAAACGCTAAACTAAACAATGAACAGTTAATAGCTGTTATGTGCAGCTGTGAAATATTATAATGTCATTCACCTTTACATAAAGACATTTTATATAAAAACAACAACTAAATAACAGCTGTGCTCTTATGCCCTCATATTTTATAGGAATTCAAAATGTAAGGTTTTAATACAAACTGTATAATAATTTATTAACAGAGTAAAGTGTTATTTAATGTATTGTTTTTGGATGACAACTGAGAAAACTCAGTCTGCAAATGTAGGTCACAGGATGTGGCCTTAAGCTAAGAAAGAAATCTAACAAGTGAGCCTTGAGTAGAAGTAAACTAGTCAAACTAGTTTCTTCTGAGAAAATAAACTTTGAAACTCAACTTGTCTTTAAGAGTTTTTAAAACATTTATAAGCAGATTTCCGGATGCCTGTAAATAACTCGTAAACAAACCCTTCTGGCTCCTTACAACTACATTACAGAGTGTTGGAAACTATTTAGTAAATGGTTTTTTATAATTTAAATAGTGAAGTAGTAATGTTCTGTTTTCTTTTTAAGGTGGAGAATATTTACGTATTTATATTGTGTTGAAACTGCAAAATCCCCGAGATCTAACTGTATATTTACGATAAATATTTATATTTTTTTTACATTTTTCTGATTTATATTGTTTTATTTTTGAATCACTATTGCTCATTGTATTATTCTATTTCAACATATTTAAGTATAATTAAAAAACAAATACTCTGATTAACATAAAAACAATGCAACTCAAGTTAAATCATATTAAACTAATCTTAAATGATGCAAACGTGGAAAACAAAATCCTTACCAACTCAATTTGGTAATTCTTTAATTACATTTTGCTTGAAATCATTATTTCAGACAGCAAACTTTTTTTTGTAAATACCATCACCACAATGAACCTCAACTGGCTGCCAATAAATAATCAAAATAAAGCGGCGCCAATAAACAAGTCATGTCAAAAACAAAATAACATTTACACTAAGTCCATTTCATAACACAACTTTCCAAGAGAGCGGGTCTCGTCGGAGGCTGGTGGCGGACAAAGTCACGCTGGGCACACATAGCGATAAATGAAAATGTCACACCAAAGTGAAACATGGCTTTAAGGCAGCAGCAGCTCTTGCATTGTGTTCTACATGTGAGGTGAGCGCACATTTACCTTGCCCGACTTTCATGATGACTTTCATGGCTCGGCTCTTGCACACGCCCCCCTCCCGGTTCTCCAGGCCTTCGACTGTGCCGTTGGAGGTTGCTGGAGGCGAAGGAGGAGAGGGGGGAAGAAAAAAAAAAAGAGGAGAGAAAGAAGGGGGCGGTGGGGGGTTGTGTGTGGGAGGACAAGAAGAAGTGGTGGAGGGTAAAAGAAAAGAAAAGCAGGAGAAAGAGGAGGAGAGAAGATGACACACCGGTTAATGAGCACGTCCATAACGCACAGAACTAATCAATATTTACGACAAGCACTGATTAGCTGTTCCAGTGATTAGCCGTTCTCACCCTCAATCAACCGCCGGCTCCTCTCAACGGTATCTCTCATTAACACAATAAAGCGAAGTCAAATGAATGGAACAACATTAGAGTCTGCTGAGGGCTGAGGGCGGGAGGGCGCCGAGGTGGAGAGCAGCAACATGGTCGGACCTGCGAGTGTGCGCTTTCTGCCGGCGCATAGTTTCGCAGTGAAGACATGCCAGCGAGAGTTCCAGCTGCTTGCCAAGTCCTCGAGCAGCTTACTCCCTTCTGAGCCACATGTGTCACTACTTGCTGCTAGTGCGGAGAGGGCTTAAATGCCTCCCTTAATGTTTGTGCGTGCATGTGTGTGTGTGTCCATTAACATATTAGAGCGAGCGCTGTTAAAGTGCGCGTCGCCGCTCGGACTCGGGGCGAGGAGCTCAGGGTCGAGGGGTTGTTTATTCAATGTCACAGTCACTTCAGACGCTGTGACACAATTGGCTTGTCTATTTTAGGGCCCATGATAATGACCTAGGGAGACAGAGTGTGACTCTGACCTTAACACTGAGTAGCAAAGCACGGCGTTGTGTGTTTCTGCCTGTGTGTGTGTGTGTGGGCGCATAGGATGGCAGCTCTAATTTTGGAATTCCCCAAATGATCTCCATCTCCGCTTAGTCTGCTGTTTCAACTTACTCCCTTCCTCTGAAATGCTTTTGTTTCTCTTCCTCGCATTATCCGTCTCGGTCTCTCTCTCCCCCTGTTTTTTCACTCACTTCATTTCCTATCTGCTCTATCTGGCTCTAGCCCTCCCCTCTTCCCTCCCTCTTAACTCAATGACCATCTCCCTGGGTGATTGCTTCAGATGGCACCCTCATTATGATGAGATAGTCTTGGAGAGGGTGCTTATCTAATGATGACACAAAGAGAGACAGACTTGGCTACAGGCAAGGGGGCTGGGTGGGTCCAAACAAAGCGCTTGCAAACATTCAAATACTTGCCGGCGTGATGTATCAATGTTTCTACATGCGTTTTCTTGCTGTAAACTGTTGTCGTATCAAGCCGCGTTGAAATCTGGCTCCGCAGCTACGGAAAAAAAAGCCTCATCTAGTTGATTCATGCCCTGTCATTCCTAAGTATTATTAATGTTGACATTTTGTTGCCCTGTGGGATTTCGGCTTTGTACTTGCAGCGAAATTGAAGAAAAGCAAGTAATGAATTGCACTAATATTATGTTACATTATCAGATCCTACTCGGGCTCCGATTTACAAGAACCACAACATTTTGTTAGTGTGGCTGCAGTACGTGATAATTTGTGAGAACGATTGTGATAACATCATGTCAGGGAGCTCTTTCTGCAAAAATCCCCCCGCGGTAGACTCAACACGACCGAGCGCGCCGGACTCTGAAATATAGACGAGGGGCCAGCGGAGCCGAGCGCTGCGCAAGGGAGAGGAGGGAGAAGAAAAAAAAAGAAAAAGGATTTGAAATTTACGTGGGGCATTAATGTGAATGAACACTCAAGGCTAAGTGAGTCTTATGATTTATGTAAAGTCTATGCAGGGAGCATGTCTCCTCTAAAGGGAACATCCAAAGACAGTGAGGTGAACAGGCCTGTTTCCAGTCGTGCAGCCTCGCACCGTCTCCCGGCTCTGAATGGCCCAGACGCAGCCACAAGTGCTAACCTCATCCTGCCATTTTCCACCCAATTTCTTCTCTTCTTTCAATTTTTAAATTTCCAGGGCAAGGTTATACAAAAATGAGCTCTTTGAAGATCAAGCTCAAAGGCGCTTGAATAATCTGACTAAGAGTGAGCGTCATGCTATGAATTTTATATCCACTCAGGGAGAGCAAATCTTCTCAGTGTTAACTTGCTTCTGTCATCTAAATTAACTATTCCTTCAGGCTGGCTGAACAGGCTCCTGCATTACCGATGTGGCATGATGATAAGTTGGCCCTCGGAGGCTCCTGTTTAGCCGAACAACTGAAAGGGAGCTGGATTTATAAAGAGATGATCACTTTATATGTTGTTTGTATTCGGGCCATTTAAGATGTCAAATAATTCAAGCTTTCCGCCGTAGCGCTGGAAATTCATAATCCGATTAACTGTGTCCAATTTTAACCACATTTCCTTATGTGGATCCATCTCTTAAGTGCTATTCAAGATGGAAATCAACTGCGCAGACAACTGTTGAGCGCATTTGAAAATGTGCAGTGGATCTTTAAACAATAAAACATGCAGACCGTTAAACAGCAGCGGGCTCTGCTGTGTTTGCCATTTTACATTCTTTGATATCACACCACATACATCTATCATTTCAGAGATTGCATTAAAAAAAAAAANAAAAAAAAAAAAAAAGAGCGATGGATGACATGGGTGGTGAGACGATGGAGCGATAATGATGATCTATTTCAACTCTATACATTGTGCACTTGTAGGAAAAGTCTAACAAAATACAACTGCTTTGTGAACTGAATCAGGGTTCAAGGAAATCCTCCATCAAAAATAGTAAGTAAGGCAAACATCAGAGGTGCGAAGGGAGAGGAACACATTATTTTCACACACTGTGTCTGATACCTGAGCTATCTGGAGAGTTTCCCGGCCCAGCTCGGAGCCCCCGACCAACACACACACGGACGCGCACGCACACACACACTGATTTTTTTCTTCTTTTTTTTTCTCTTTTTGTCACCCGGCACACAAACTGCAGGCTGAGTGGCGTTCGGGCCTGCGTCTGCCTGTTCCTGGCTAGTGTGCTAGGATGGTGGTGTTTAATTGGGTGTAGCACAGACTGTACTTCAGGGAACTGAGATAAGTTATATCCTGTCCGTTCTTTTAAAAAAAAAAAAAAAAAGGGACAGCGAACCACGAAGCTCGAAGTTCCATCTGTTGGTTTGCTCGAGCTCCGCCTCCCACCGTCAGAGCACAGCGGGGGGGTGGTGGAGGAAACTAGGAGGTGGGGTGAGGAGGAAGAGGGTGTGGGGGGAGGTAAGGAGGAAGGGTGGGGATTGTCAGACAACCCAAACAAACAGAATAAACCTCTCTCGTCAGTCAGCTCATAACCCCGCTGGTCACTGGTCAGTGCGTGTGTTTCTCCAGATTTGTGCAGCAGGTGGTAGAAATAACACGGGCTCGAAAGAGGCATCAAGTCCCCCAAGATGCAAAAAGGAAGTGTCCTTCCCAAGAACATAAATCAAGCGCTCCTCTTCTTTTCCGTTTTTCCTCTCTCTCTCTCTCTCTCTCTCTCCTGACCGTGCCGCCGCCGGTTTGTGCGAAGCGTGTCAGACTTTGTAGTAGATGTTGGCGGGGCTCTGCGGAGGCATCTCCTGGACAATGTAGACTGGGTGGCCATAGTCCCCGCTCACCTTCTCATAGTGAGGGCAGTAGTTGTTCTCTGTCCGCAGCGGAATGATGATGTCGCTGGGCTCCGTGCCAGCCGTGCCGCCCGGCAGCTTGGGATTGGACAGGGTGCTGAGCGACAGCGCCGAGGGGCGGGGCTGCGAGTGGGCGTTTTTCCTGGCACGCTTGCGCATCTTGATGAGCAGGATGACGAGGAGGAGGATGAGCAGGAGGAAGATGATGCAGCCGGCCCCGATGGCGGAGAACACGGCCACTTTGGAGCCCAGGATGCCGTCCGAGTTTGCCGAGGACCCCGACTGGTCTTGATTCATGGGGTCTAGAAGGAGAAATGACGAAAAAAAAAATAAAAGAGAGAGAGAGAGAGAGGCTTAGGGACTGTAAAAATAATTATGACGGGGGAACAGAGGGTCAGAAAAAGGAGGGTGCTGTAATTTGTACTTGTGCTGAAAGGAGGAGAGTCTAACTTTTTTTTTATGTTCCCTCGCCCCATATTTCACTTTTATTTCATATTTTATATTTGTGAGATTTATTATTTAAAGGAGATCAAATAGGTACATCAAAAAATCTGGTTTCCGTGTCCTCTGGGGAGCTGCATTTTGCCATGTGTAGAGGATGAGGGGGTTGGGATGAAAATATCGCAATGCACAAATCCTTCGGCACAGAGCCTGTTCTTGTTCCACTCATTTAGCGGCTGCGTTATCAGTTCATTTAATGGCACTGCTTTCTTACATATGTGTTTGTTTGCTTTGGGAGGATTTCAGGCGGATGGTTATAGCGGCGTTTGTCAAATCAGGGTCCAAAGAAAACAGTAATAACACTCGCGAGGTTCCTTGTGTGTTTGTTAAATAGGATTTCACTCCTCCCCATCACAGTAATTTTCTTATAGTCCCTCAGAGACTGCGGAACATTTACAGTAAGCCGGCGCTGTCATGTGTCACACAGATCTTAGCTGTTGTGTGCCTAAATCAACTGCGAGCACATCCCAGTTTTTGTTGTCTGCTCGACATGACTAACAGCCCCATTGATGTAATCTAATTGAATCAGCTCAATCAAAATAGGCCTCGTAATGAAATCTGTAGTCATCACTCGGCATAACCGAGATTCCTGCCCCGATAAGATTGGAGCCCGGGCATGTTGTGTGACATGTCGAGGCCGCGTTTTGTCTGGCAAAGGCCAAGTGAGATATGGAGGGGGGAAAAAAAAAACTGGACAAAAATGAGGAGGGCATATCTGAACATCTGATTTTATTTTATCCCTTTGTTTCAGGGGTTCAGGATGGGGAAGGAGGGGGGTGGTGGTGGTGACTGGATGGGAAAGAGAATGGCTGGCTCCTCCAGTGACTGAAATCTGAGAAGAACCAAATCTGTTTTCCATGTATGCATGCAGCTGCTGCCAAAGAGCAGCACTCACCCCTCTCCCACCACCACCACCACCACCACCACCTCTTTACTGTCCATGACCTCCCCTCCCCTCCCCAACACACACACAAGCCCTCATACCTCCGGAGACTGCCATCCACACTAATGACTGTGTCTCCGCACTCGTCCGGCCACTTTTGCACTTAACCATTTATTGAGGAGGGGCTTTAACGGCGCCCTTATCACGACCAAATGACATCACCGAGAGCTACCAATTCGAGGCCTTATCGGGTGAAATCAGAGGCTGGAGGAATTTCGTACACTCTGGGCGCCGCGGAGAGCCCGGAGAGAGGCTGTCAGAAATTTCATTCCTGAAATATCAAGCCCTCAAACCACAACGACTTGTCCTTCATTCCACCCTCCACTTCTTCACTTGACATAATCACTGATCTAACAATGGTAGACAGGTAGAAGCCCAGGTATAGGGGGGGGGGAAAGTGACATTAGGCAATCTTTTTATAGAGTAACTAATGTCAAATAAGCAATTATTAAATGAGGACAGCTTATCACATTGGGACAGGCAGAACAGACTGTACTTGGGAGGAAGTTTGTGGCATATAAAGTTGTGGAGTAAGTCAAAAAGTTTGTGTAGGGAGTGATCTAAAAAAAAAAAAAAAAAAGAATAGTAGAAGAAGAAGAAGAAGAAGCGGTCCCTCCTGTGGGGAGCCGCTATGAAAGGTGCTGGTGAAAACAGGAAACAAGGAGGGCCCAGAGCATCCAAGGAGGCTCAAGTGACTCCTTCAATTATCTCTGCTTTTAATCTTCATTTATCTGCAATTCTAATGAGGTTTAAAAAGATATATAATAAAGAAAGTGTGTCTTTGAGTCTCCTTGGGTGCAGCACACCCTTTTGTGTACAGTATAAATAAGTGAAGTGACTCAGGGTGAGCTGTGTTTGTTTTGGGTGGGGTTTCGTGTTGTAACGTTGCAACCTGGACTTTGGAGAGTTTATTCACCTACAACAGTGGTTTTACACGTATTTAAGCTTGCTGACCCCCCCCCCCAAAAAAATCAAAGGAACGCCTGCGGCAGGAAAAAGCCATATGAGAGAATGCATACTTTGAGAGACTCAACTATGATTTTTATTTTTCTCTTTTCAGGCTAAATGTGATTAATTATTAGAGGAACCCTTAAGGCTGTGAATATTCCTTTTTTACATTTCAAAAACCATTATTTTACTAAAATATTTGCACTCCGGAATCTAGAAAGCATTCTTTAAGGAGCGCTAAGCGGCAGTTCATGGAGCTGCTGTTGATCCGTCAATCTGCTCACCAGGGTTTCCTGGAATCTCGGGTCCAATCCGACCCTGGTCGGGCGGACTGGGACTGGACTCCGGTATGGCGTTGTCTTCTGGAGTCTCCGGCGCCACGGGGTTCGCAGAGTTTGGGACTGTGGGAAAACAAAAAAAAACACACACACACACAGAAAGTCAGCCTTGGCAAGCTGCATGCGCTGAATTACAATGACTTGTTCTCGGCAACAGCGAGGATTATTTTTTATTATCTTGTGATATATCTTTTATGCACGGAGAAGGTTATCTTTGCATGTGTTGAAAAGCGTCTCAGAAGTGAAGATGAAAGCACAAAAAGCGGAAGGACAAGTTAGCGAACGCCTGTGAAACACGCCAATACTCCTGTCCTGCCGTTAAAAAAAAAAAAAAGAGGAAAAGAAAGAGCTCACATCTACATCAGCAGCTCCTTCAGCAAACACTCAGACAGGCATTTCCAACACTGACACACTCATGAGCGCGTAGGACACACACATCCATGTGCACACACCTACGATATACTTACAATACACTTAGGCCTGGCAGAATGAGGGTAAAGTAGTTATATATTAACTTTTTATTGTTTTACATTATTCATCACGTTAAAAGGCCATAATATGCCTTATTTATTGCTCCGGCTTTAACTCTGCCTGAAAGAGGCACACTTCTGAAGAGGGGACAGGAAGCGAACGGGGGAGACGAGGAGAAGAGGAGAAGAGGAGGCGAGGAAGAGGAGACGAGGACGAGGAGGAGGGGGGTTGCATAAGCTCTGAAGGGAACGCAAAGGAAACAGACAGTTTATCTGTCTGTCTGCTCTGATTTCAGCGCACACTTTGAAGTCTTTGTGCAGTAAACACTGGTGGGTCCACACCGTGGTTATTTTACAAGGGCAGGGCCGGCAGACAGAAGACAGTTAAAAACTATTACCGAGGCCGCTCAGATGGCTTCCACGGCACTCTATCAGATGCTTCTCCTCTATCAGGACCTTATCTGCATCTGCCCCAAGGCCTGCTCAGAGGGGTGTGTGAGAGAAATAAGTGAGGAGGGCGCGTGGGGAGAAGGGCAATTTACATCCGAGTCTCCCGTGGCAATTTTGTGTGGCCGTGCATGGGTGTGTGACTGAAGAGGTTCTGACAGTCTAGCGGTTCTATTTCCACCCCAGTTTGGCCAAATCTCAAGCAGAAATGATTCAGGTGCGGGGCATCTGGTAGATATAAGCAAAAAAAAAAAGCCAGAGACGGGAAGGAATATGCGTTCACGATGGCCGTCCGCTTTCTCTTCCCTCGTTTTTCTTCGGTATTTGGCTAACGCAAACCACACTATTCGCAAATCCGCCCCTATCTTCTCCATGTCCGGACCATCACATCGCTCCATGCTGATTGCGGCAAGCGGTGAACCTAGCCGTGAGCTGTTGTGCGTTGTCAATAATTGATGAGAAAAGACAGGAGTGAGAAGTGGGAACATTCGCACATGATCGAGGATATGAGAGGACACAGTGATCTGATTCACTCCCTGCGTTATAGCCCCCGACTCTGTGTCAACCACTGAGCATGTGCGGGGAGCGTTCTAATGTTCTGACCCATTTTTTCGGTGTGTACTGCTGACATTTCCCTTAGCTATGCAGACAGCAACTACCTCAGAACTGCCAACCCGCCAGAAGGAGGGAGAAGGTGGGGAGGAGACGAGGGGTGAGGGAGGGAGACAATGATGGAGCGATAGAATAGAAAGAGAGAGACAGATATGTAGGGGAGTGAGGTAGAGAAAATGTGAGAGGGGAAGAGATGCGTGCGAGGCGGTGAGTCAACGTATTTCTAATGAGCACGGTGACATGTTGTGGTGGAGGGGGAAGAGACTGCTGAGCAGCAACGTTATGTATAAAATATGGGCTTCCCGTATCTCCCCTTCAATCAGTTTCACTTCCTTTTAACTGCTCATTTTTTCATAAAGACAAAAGACAGACTACGGGGCACTTAAAGCGCAATTAGATATCGACACGTCAGGGCGCGAAACTTGCCCGAGACAAATGATCCAGCGCGGTTCCGACCCCTGAGCGTCGTCGCAGTCAGATATGAAATGTAGGAATAAAAGAAATGCATATTTCACACTGGAGTGAGTCACCAAAATGTAATTCCAAAGTGCAAAGGCGTACGAGTGGACATATGGGAAGATCTTGAGGCCTTGGCGAGAGAAAAGTGTTGGCATTCAGCTACAGGAGACGGAGGAAATGTGAATCAAACACAATGGCATCTGGGGTCAGAACCAAGTGGAGCCCACGCATTTTTTTTTTTTTTTTTTTTTTGGCTGAAACAAAGCCGAGTGTGGTTGCTGAAGGTAGAGCCTAGGGCAGCGAGTGCTGATTAGTCTTTTGAGTATTCTTTGTTTTTTTACTTAATTGGTCAGAAAACGCTAAAAGATGTCCATAACAAATTTGCCCGAGGTGAAGGGTGATGTTTTCGAATGACTCGTTTTGCCTGAACAACAATCCAGAAGCTAAAAATATTCAATTTGGGTAAACAAAAGAGCGAAAAGCGGCACATTTTCAAATTTCACATCCTGAGAAATAACTTGAATACATATCAGCAGCCAAAACTGAATGAATTTCTGTTAATAAATGCTTACATAAATTAAAGTATGCCTGCAGTATGAGCAAAATATGCATCAAAAACCATTCCGAAATACTTCAGAGACGTATTATCCATTATAACACATGCCAGATTGTGTGTAAAAGCTCAAATTTGTAATATAACAGTACAATATTTTGCTCTAAATCGCAGCAGAATAGGAGTATAACGTCGCATTAAATGGAAGTACATGTCCAATAGCTGAAGAAGACAAACTTTATTATCTTGCATCACTGTCAGATAAAACAAGAACTCTGCATAGGTCATGACAGGAAATTAAATTAGACATTTGTCAGTGCTTTCTATCATGTAAAAGCCCCAAAAAATCCTAATCTAATCAAGAAAATAACTGTCAGATTAATGGAAGATAAAAATAACGGTTAGTTGCACCAGAACATTTTGCAGGAAAAACAATCACCTAGAAATTACACACAGAAGCCAAATCAAAGCCGCTGTCAGCGCTCTAATTTCTCATGGCCCTTCTTCAAATAGTTACTGGGTTGGATGGGTACATTAGGCATCAAAAATTCCACCCACAGAAATAGATTTAAAAGTAGTAGCAGCTGGGCCGGCAGCATCTTTTCTAACAAGGTTTTTAGGGCACATTGATCGTGAGTGACAGCTCGCTTTGGACTGTTTTGGGAAATGAGTGCATGGCTCTAGCGAAGTTGAGGAACAGCCGGGAGCCACGAAAACAGACTCCAGCTGAGGCGAACTTTCCTAGAACTTTCCTCGAGTGAGACATTTCCTTTCAACTTTCATTAACGTGAGAGCACAGGTTTATTTTTCTCCCGGTTAATAGCTGAGGGTGAAAAAAAGCCCTGTGTTGCCTGCACTCGTGCAGCCACGTTGTCATTCTGCAGCGGTGTTGCAATCCCAGTGCTGTCGGGATGCTCAAATTGACCTACATGGAAAAGATAATGCAATGCCTGTCTGTTGCTGAGATGGTTGTGGGTATTTTTCTCTGTATCTGCTGAATTTGTTCCGACTCAGACCTTGCTAGCATCAGCAGCTTGTTAGCTTCTATTCTCCCACCGGCTGCCAGGATACACTGCTGTCATTCCACTAGCCAACATTCAAATATCTGCACACACATTTGCAGACACACACACACACACACACACATACACAGACACTGCAGATTCCTCAGCAAGTCTCGGTTTATTTTTGACATGTTGAGATCCAGCTTTTAAGCTGGAATCAGATCATCATGGCGGGCAGATGTTCCTCTCAGATGGTGGTTAGTGTCTGTTTCGGTCAAAACAACCACACTGAGGATGAGGGAAGTGTTTACAGAGTAACACATCTGTGTACTGTACCCTGTCAGATTCAGGATATGGATGTCCACAAATTGAGTAAAACTGCGTATAAAAGTGAAACGTATGATAAAAACCAAATGTTGTGTCCAAGGATATCTAAACAAAGCTTGCTTGTTTACTTCCAGCATTTTTAGATGACTTACCCCGACCATGCACTTACGTACCAATTTCAAACACATTTTCATTCCGTGATTGCTGCATGAGAATCGCAGCTGAGGAACATCAGAGGTTTTATTGCAATTTGGAACTGGAGCCGTTCTTCATTCGCTTGTTATTTCTCCCGGATCTCATTTTCTACACTGTTTGCAAAAACTGTTTGTGGATATAGACGATTTCTAAAAAAAATAGTGTACACAACTAATAGCGGGGAACAACGAGTGGATCCGTCGTGGTACGCGTCTGCTGTGTATCGCAATAGTGCATTTTCTGTGAGTTTAGCTGGAAAAGGGAACAGACGAAATAAGCTGATGGGAATCCAATGGCTGATAAATCAGGTTACTTCATCACAGTGACGCACAAATCCTGAAAATCCAATAGTGCAGTCCATAAAGCAGTCCTGGTTATTGATTTGCAACATTGCATGCAAACGCCTAATCCTAGCAGAGATGTTAAACAGATAGTGACGGCACTACATCCACGCCGCTCATTTGAAAGTGATATTTAAGACATTCATTACTAGCAGCAATCATTTGAGACTGTGTTGTTGGCAACACTTTATTTTAATGCTCCCACTGTTGATTTATAAACGCTAAACTAAACAATGAACAGTTAATAGCTGTTATGTGCAGCTGTGAAATATTATAATGTCATTCACCTTTACATAAAGACATTTTATATAAAAACAACAACTAAATAACAGCTGTGCTCTTATGCCCTCATATTTTATAGGAATTCAAAATGTAAGGTTTTAATACAAACTGTATAATAATTTATTAACAGAGTAAAGTGTTATTTAATGTATTGTTTTTGGATGACAACTGAGAAAACTCAGTCTGCAAATGTAGGTCACAGGATGTGGCCTTAAGCTAAGAAAGAAATCTAACAAGTGAGCCTTGAGTAGAAGTAAACTAGTCAAACTAGTTTCTTCTGAGAAAATAAACTTTGAAACTCAACTTGTCTTTAAGAGTTTTTAAAACATTTATAAGCAGATTTCCGGATGCCTGTAAATAACTCGTAAACAAACCCTTCTGGCTCCTTACAACTACATTACAGAGTGTTGGAAACTATTTAGTAAATGGTTTTTTATAATTTAAATAGTGAAGTAGTAATGTTCTGTTTTCTTTTTAAGGTGGAGAATATTTACGTATTTATATTGTGTTGAAACTGCAAAATCCCCGAGATCTAACTGTATATTTACGATAAATATTTATATTTTTTTTACATTTTTCTGATTTATATTGTTTTATTTTTGAATCACTATTGCTCATTGTATTATTCTATTTCAACATATTTAAGTATAATTAAAAAACAAATACTCTGATTAACATAAAAACAATGCAACTCAAGTTAAATCATATTAAACTAATCTTAAATGATGCAAACGTGGAAAACAAAATCCTTACCAACTCAATTTGGTAATTCTTTAATTACATTTTGCTTGAAATCATTATTTCAGACAGCAAACTTTTTTTTGTAAATACCATCACCACAATGAACCTCAACTGGCTGCCAATAAATAATCAAAATAAAGCGGCGCCAATAAACAAGTCATGTCAAAAACAAAATAACATTTACACTAAGTCCATTTCATAACACAACTTTCCAAGAGAGCGGGTCTCGTCGGAGGCTGGTGGCGGACAAAGTCACGCTGGGCACACATAGCGATAAATGAAAATGTCACACCAAAGTGAAACATGGCTTTAAGGCAGCAGCAGCTCTTGCATTGTGTTCTACATGTGAGGTGAGCGCACATTTACCTTGCCCGACTTTCATGATGACTTTCATGGCTCGGCTCTTGCACACGCCCCCCTCCCGGTTCTCCAGGCCTTCGACTGTGCCGTTGGAGGTTGCTGGAGGCGAAGGAGGAGAGGGGGGAAGAAAAAAAAAAAGAGGAGAGAAAGAAGGGGGCGGTGGGGGGTTGTGTGTGGGAGGACAAGAAGAAGTGGTGGAGGGTAAAAGAAAAGAAAAGCAGGAGAAAGAGGAGGAGAGAAGATGACACACCGGTTAATGAGCACGTCCATAACGCACAGAACTAATCAATATTTACGACAAGCACTGATTAGCTGTTCCAGTGATTAGCCGTTCTCACCCTCAATCAACCGCCGGCTCCTCTCAACGGTATCTCTCATTAACACAATAAAGCGAAGTCAAATGAATGGAACAACATTAGAGTCTGCTGAGGGCTGAGGGCGGGAGGGCGCCGAGGTGGAGAGCAGCAACATGGTCGGACCTGCGAGTGTGCGCTTTCTGCCGGCGCATAGTTTCGCAGTGAAGACATGCCAGCGAGAGTTCCAGCTGCTTGCCAAGTCCTCGAGCAGCTTACTCCCTTCTGAGCCACATGTGTCACTACTTGCTGCTAGTGCGGAGAGGGCTTAAATGCCTCCCTTAATGTTTGTGCGTGCATGTGTGTGTGTGTCCATTAACATATTAGAGCGAGCGCTGTTAAAGTGCGCGTCGCCGCTCGGACTCGGGGCGAGGAGCTCAGGGTCGAGGGGTTGTTTATTCAATGTCACAGTCACTTCAGACGCTGTGACACAATTGGCTTGTCTATTTTAGGGCCCATGATAATGACCTAGGGAGACAGAGTGTGACTCTGACCTTAACACTGAGTAGCAAAGCACGGCGTTGTGTGTTTCTGCCTGTGTGTGTGTGTGTGGGCGCATAGGATGGCAGCTCTAATTTTGGAATTCCCCAAATGATCTCCATCTCCGCTTAGTCTGCTGTTTCAACTTACTCCCTTCCTCTGAAATGCTTTTGTTTCTCTTCCTCGCATTATCCGTCTCGGTCTCTCTCTCCCCCTGTTTTTTCACTCACTTCATTTCCTATCTGCTCTATCTGGCTCTAGCCCTCCCCTCTTCCCTCCCTCTTAACTCAATGACCATCTCCCTGGGTGATTGCTTCAGATGGCACCCTCATTATGATGAGATAGTCTTGGAGAGGGTGCTTATCTAATGATGACACAAAGAGAGACAGACTTGGCTACAGGCAAGGGGGCTGGGTGGGTCCAAACAAAGCGCTTGCAAACATTCAAATACTTGCCGGCGTGATGTATCAATGTTTCTACATGCGTTTTCTTGCTGTAAACTGTTGTCGTATCAAGCCGCGTTGAAATCTGGCTCCGCAGCTACGGAAAAAAAAGCCTCATCTAGTTGATTCATGCCCTGTCATTCCTAAGTATTATTAATGTTGACATTTTGTTGCCCTGTGGGATTTCGGCTTTGTACTTGCAGCGAAATTGAAGAAAAGCAAGTAATGAATTGCACTAATATTATGTTACATTATCAGATCCTACTCGGGCTCCGATTTACAAGAACCACAACATTTTGTTAGTGTGGCTGCAGTACGTGATAATTTGTGAGAACGATTGTGATAACATCATGTCAGGGAGCTCTTTCTGCAAAAATCCCCCCGCGGTAGACTCAACACGACCGAGCGCGCCGGACTCTGAAATATAGACGAGGGGCCAGCGGAGCCGAGCGCTGCGCAAGGGAGAGGAGGGAGAAGAAAAAAAAAGAAAAAGGATTTGAAATTTACGTGGGGCATTAATGTGAATGAACACTCAAGGCTAAGTGAGTCTTATGATTTATGTAAAGTCTATGCAGGGAGCATGTCTCCTCTAAAGGGAACATCCAAAGACAGTGAGGTGAACAGGCCTGTTTCCAGTCGTGCAGCCTCGCACCGTCTCCCGGCTCTGAATGGCCCAGACGCAGCCACAAGTGCTAACCTCATCCTGCCATTTTCCACCCAATTTCTTCTCTTCTTTCAATTTTTAAATTTCCAGGGCAAGGTTATACAAAAATGAGCTCTTTGAAGATCAAGCTCAAAGGCGCTTGAATAATCTGACTAAGAGTGAGCGTCATGCTATGAATTTTATATCCACTCAGGGAGAGCAAATCTTCTCAGTGTTAACTTGCTTCTGTCATCTAAATTAACTATTCCTTCAGGCTGGCTGAACAGGCTCCTGCATTACCGATGTGGCATGATGATAAGTTGGCCCTCGGAGGCTCCTGTTTAGCCGAACAACTGAAAGGGAGCTGGATTTATAAAGAGATGATCACTTTATATGTTGTTTGTATTCGGGCCATTTAAGATGTCAAATAATTCAAGCTTTCCGCCGTAGCGCTGGAAATTCATAATCCGATTAACTGTGTCCAATTTTAACCACATTTCCTTATGTGGATCCATCTCTTAAGTGCTATTCAAGATGGAAATCAACTGCGCAGACAACTGTTGAGCGCATTTGAAAATGTGCAGTGGATCTTTAAACAATAAAACATGCAGACCGTTAAACAGCAGCGGGCTCTGCTGTGTTTGCCATTTTACATTCTTTGATATCACACCACATACATCTATCATTTCAGAGATTGCATTAAAAAAAAAAAAAAGTGCCAGCCACGTTTCTCAAAGTCTCTAACCCTACTCCACAACAAGGACACACTGCCAGCTTTTTTTTTTTTTTTTTTTTTAATCTAAAAGCCTCTCACTCACTCTATCTCCTCTTCCTCTCACTCAATTTTTCTCCTCCCTCTCTAACCCTCTCCTCTCGTTTCATCCCGGCATACTGACGTTAATCCAAATCTGGATTTCCAGATATTAAAAGGCCGACGGTCATGTCGTGTTTTGGAAAGAGGAAACTGGGGAATTGGGTCTTCCTGTGTGTCTCGGCGGAGATAAAAACACAAGGGGATAAAGCAACGACAGGACCAGGAACAAAGAAACTCCCAGTCTGCTGCTAATGATTTAGTGGAACAAACTGGTTCAGCGTTAGCCGTCCAGAATACCAAAAGAACTGGTCATTGCATGAAGGAATGTTGCTTTTTTTAATAAAGCGGTCGGCTCCAAAGAGGGTTTTTGTATGATTTAAGGCCCCTCTTTGTGGGTGTGGATCATTGGCCACAGAGTGACTAGTGGGAGAACAAAAGATCTACAGCTGCTGAAGTCATAAGAGAAACCAGGTGCCAAATGTTGATGTTGGGAAATATCTACAGTACAAATGTATCAGCCAAGAGGAAGCCTTACAGGGGAAAGAGCTGGCCAGAAAGAAAGGCTCCCGTTCCAGTACTGCACACATAGCACTACTGCACACATTACCTAAAGCATAACACATTAACATGCAGATGTGAATGTACACTCGCGCAAACACACCGTTGCACACAGATTTCACAAGGACGTTTGGGGTAGCGCGGCAGACTGCTCCCCGAGGTGCTCCGAGGAGAAGAGTGGGAGATGTGTGAGAGATGCAGCGCTGACTGGCCAAGACAACACTAGCTAAGGCTAGAGTGCGATGTGGTGGTCTATATTTATTCTCAGGTCTGCTAAATGAGGTCACTCAGGTGGTCCTGCTGAATACATTCCCCATCTCCATCATGAATCATCTGCTGCTTATTATTCCTGTCCAGCCCAGGGGGCTTGCTTTCATACAGCGCAGTGGGGCTGTGTGTACGTGTGTGTGCACGTGGTCCGCTGTCTATACGTGCGCGTGCGCGGTCGCGTGCGCAACATCTGCCCAAAGCGACGAACGAGGGGGGATAGATACAGCCCATGTGACAGACAGAGAGCAGGTTGTTTAATGAGAAAGTGGATGAGAGGTGACATTCATTGGCTACCTTTCACACAGCGTCTCCCCCCCCCCCACCTCCTCCTCCTCGTTCATTCTGCGCAGCATTCAGACTTCCATTTAGCAGGCACCGAGTAGTCACAGTAACCACCAGTAATAATGTCTACATTTTCCAAAAAAAAAAAAAAAAAAAGCAGCTAAATACATAAACAGGCTCAACCACCATCTGATCACTCACACTTAGCATCAAGGAAAAAAAACACAAGCGCGCAAGAGCTGTTTCATCCATTTGAGGCAAAGCAGGGAGCTACACACAGCCGTGTCAGGTGTGTGTGTGTCTGTATCAAACAGAGCGTCACAACAGAAATGGCTATTTCTCATACCTGCGATTTTTCCTATCTTGGTTTTTGTTTACATTAGCGGACCAGAATCGAAGTGCTGAGAAGGGAAAGAGTCTATTTGCACAAAATATTTCACCCCTGAATGAGCACAGAGAGGGTTAGATTAGGTTTATGTGCCTGATTCCAGAGATAACCCTCCCCAGCAGATCTGGCATGCATGCAAGAATGCACGTGCACACACACACACACACACACTCGCGCACTCACACACACAAACACACAAACGCATACAGAGTGAGGTTGGCAGACTGGAATAATACTGGGGATCTAGATGTTTGCACTTTGAACCTTTTCTAATCCAGAGTATTAGGGCATGGCTAAAGCCTGATTATGGCGGAATGAAATGGATCTAAATAGATGTCCCTGCCCATCAGCCTTCCATTTCTTTGTCCTAGAAATAGAAATGGAAATCAGTAATCAACCTCCAACCTCTCGCTCGCCATCTCTCCCACGTAGCCTCCTCTGCAGGTTTGGCGAGAGCAAAGAAAATTCATTCAGACTTTTCATATCGCCGCAGATGAATTGGGGCGCGCTCAGGTTGGCCGAGGGTTTTCCTCATGCTCCTTTTCAATAATAAAACTTGGCAGACAATATAAAATTGTCATATCTTCGATGCTAGACGCGCACATTTTTCATGCTACTTTGGAAATATTGAATTCAGGTCGGAATAAATGCGGTTGCGAGCGATGAGGGTGGACACAGCTGATTTTCTCATCTTGGTGTTTTGACTGTTTTTCGCATTTTACCGTTGCAGAGCATCGCCCTAATAAAACCACGTGCCGCCTTGCTCCTCGGGAGCCACTTTGCTGCTGGTGTACGGTAAACAGGTAGCAGCATTAGTGTCAAGGTTTAAAGTGGTAAGCGGCCCAGTGCACACAACTGTTGCTCAGCT